CACACAACCTGTAGTGACCCAGAGGTCTTGCTGGGCGGAGGGGCTGCAGAGCCTCTGGGTTTTCGTCCTCAGAGTCGGATAATGCACTACCAGGCCGCCCTGCCAGATAGAGAAATTGACAAAGAAAAAGTGTTCAGTTTTCCTCAAAGCACTGCTCCTGTCGCCCCCACTACAGAGGCTGTTCGGAGGAATATTTAGCGCTGCTGTTATATGATGGTTTACACTTTTATCTACAGGGCATATAGTAGATTAATGTGTGGCTCCATTCACCTGTAGAGGCAATCGGGGCAGCACTCCACTTGGCTCTGACCATTGTTCCCATCTTCTGCTCCAGCTGACAGATGTACTCCATCAACTCCTGTAGTGGAAAATACAGCCATCATATCACACGCCCGGGCAGGACTTTCATCGTGGCTTCAGCAGCCATCACCCTCGTAACCCTCATGATGTTCCACTTCTTCCAGCCAAAGCCACATAAAATGGTAACAAATGCACAGCCGCAACACTTGTTATTATATAAATATCATTATCTCTGTTCAATAAACATTTAAACATTAGTTTGATTTATCATGTGCCACAGATTGGCCGCTTCGCTCCCATGTGGCGGATGTTAAAATTAAGCTGGACACTGATTTTAAAAACATTGACTATCTACTCTGCCAGTTGCGGGCTATTGTGATGGTGGTTATCCAACAAAAACTCTGCAGGCACTTTAACAGCGTCAGCACTGACTGCTCTGAAATCCACTGATTTATATTACGCTATAAACCATTTATATTGCACAATAACAACCAAGAAGACAACAACAGACGAAGATTCCCAACACCTGGGACATTCACAATCCCTATACTTGCATATATGTTACATCGGTAAGCTTTAGGATATGAATACATTAATAATAACGAGCATTTAGGGAATAAAAACGTATTTATAGATGCACTCAAGCTGGAGAGAGGTACAAATTGTAACTTAACTTTAAAGCTAATAATGACTAAAGTACTGCAGTTATGGGCTGATTAGGATAAAACTGTTACACTTTATTTGTTAATCTATACCATACCATAGCCATTTATTGGCCTTGAGACCTTGTCAGCTGATAATGAACAGCACACATATAGTTAGTAACTGTGACACTATACAGGCACGTGTTTTCAAAACAGTATAGCTTCTCCTTTTTGGACATATTCGGTAGGCTTCAGCTTTAAGTTGTCCCCTATGTTTAATTAAAGTGAGTTTCTGACCTGTTTCTCTGCAAGTATCTGCTCCTTCTCTTTCTGGGCGACCCTCAGGCTGGCCTTCAGCTCCTGGAGCTCCCTGCGGGTTTCCCCCAGCTGAACCTGCAAGGACAGAGAACACAGGACAGGGTATGTCAGAAAAAACAAATACTCTTCTACAAAATACAACTGTGTAGCAAACAAAGTATATACACAGTACACACACATATATATATATATAAAGAATAGCTTACGTTTTCTGTACTTAGAAATTAACTATATAAGAATATCTTACTGTTTAATTGTAAATGTCGTTGTGTTTATTGCAAACACACAAAATAAAAGTGTTTTAAATATTAGCTATATAACCTTTATTTATACAAGTAATCTATTGAGACACAGGTTTTGATGCTAAAGAGAAACATGGTTAAGAAACAGCAGCAATACAAAATAAAGTTACAGACAAAAAGGACATTCACCCACAGACAAAATAAAACACAGTCCTAAAAGTGCCAAAGTGTACAGGAACCCCTACAGCCATTCCGTCCAGATATTACAAGGAACCCTGAATGCAGTAAGTTCCGAGTGGTCTGCCCACCCGGTTGCAATCCTTTTCCCTGCCGAGCTCGACCTCCAGCTTCACTCTCTCCATCCTCTCGTCCTGCAGCCTCTCCTCCATCTTCTGCATCTCAGCATTGTATTTCTCCAGACTCTCGTGGTTCTTCTGTCAGGGATGAGCACACATACACTTTCTCAGTATATAACATTCTTCATTGGTTCACTGGAACATGTATGAGCTAAGGAACTGTTGGAACCATAATGTATTTTGGATAATACTTTATCTGCATGTTGAATGTATCATGCAGTTCCAACATTGAACACAAGATGGAGCATTCACTTGTGAGTGTATATATATGTAATCAATGGGTGATGCGATTCAGGTGTGTGGGACAGAAGTAAACTGTTTTTGAGCATGTCGGCAGAAGCTGTGTTGATATGAGCTGTGTTAACCTGTATGTATCAGAGCATGACAGGCAGGCATATTGTTCATCTGAATGGTAACAGAAAGGCAATATGGATACAATCAATATGGTGAATATATGGAACACAAAATAAAGGATAATCAAGGATATACACTCGTATGGACATTATTTTATCATCTGGAACATGCGTCAGAACTAAGTTCTCCCGTTCCTATCCCTCAGTGGCTTAAGTATAGATAAGGTTAAAAAGTCACTACAGGAACATATAGATCTTAAATACATAATATTTTGTGTTAAAACATTGCTATTGAAGTTACATTCAAACTTTAACTCTACCCCATCACAAATGATTTAAAATCTGCACTTTATTCTAGCAGCTATATGTACCTCTGCAATGCGCTGGAGATGCTGCCTCTCCTGGGTCCAGCGGGCTCTTCCCTCTCTCATGGCCAGACTGGAATCAGCAAGCTGAAGTGTGAGCTGTGCAGCCTGCAGACGAGCCTGATGCAATTCCGCCTGCCCATGATCCCTCTGGGCCACCATGGCATTTAGATCACTCTTTAAGCCCTCTGCAGCGCGCTCGCTCATGTTCAGACGCTCCCGCAGGCTCCACATCTCCTTCAGTGTTGCCTCGTTCTCTGCCTGGAAATAACGGGAAAAGAAAGCATGTTGGCTACATATCTGAAGATGATTTCCCAAATAATGCCAGTTGGGGTTATAACTAATACAGAATATGACAAGCCAAAGTAGTTCTTCAAGTATGTCTGGTAAAACTTTAGGATGTGCTTTCATTATTATTTAAAGCTATGTGTGTTAATTAGGAAATGCACCCATGTATAAGTTGAGGTATAATAGGTAATTGAGCCCATGTGTTAAGATACATTTGGTTTGCCGGTGCTTAAAGGAGGTGATGCATTAAAAAAGGACAACATGTATTTTGAACATCAGTGAAGCATTATTCTTGTCTTGTGAACACAAAGACATTTAATGCCCCTCGCATACAAATTTGCCGATTCCAGCTTTAATGATCAAACCGTATATTATTGTCAACCCTCATTTCCAACCTCTTTCCTGTGTGCAGTGGTGAGTTTCTGGGTGAGGGTGGTGATGCTGTTTTGGAGCTGCAGAACACTCGTGTCTCTCTGAGCCAGCGAAGTCCTCAGCACCTGAAACTCCTTCGACAGACTTCGGAGTTCACCTTCTGTCTGTTCAAGCTTGGTCTTATAGGAAAAACATGACACAGATGGGGAAAGAGAGTGCGATGTTTAAGAAAGAACAACTAAGACACCGCTTTTATTATGATGTACAGCAATATTCATCTGCATTGAAATTACCTGCAGGCTCTTTTTCTCACTATCCTCTTCATTTTTCTGAGCTCCTGCCCTCTTTACTCTTTCCTTCATCCTGCACACATAGAGTTGGTTACTGATGATCAAAAGTACTCATGAAACCCACATAAAACTTAATGTAGAAGCGACAAAGCGGAAAAAAACGTCATACCTTTCCAACTCTGTCTCTCTTTCCACGGCTCTCTGTGTCAGGGTTTTCATATCCTCCTCCAGCTCTTTGATTCTCACTTTGCTCGCCTCCCTCGCATCCAATAAAGCACTTTTCTCCTGGGCTAGTGATTCTCCAAAAGCCTGCTTCTCCTAACAGACCGGAGGCATTTTTAATTTTTACGAGGAATTGTATTTTATTATGACATACACTAGGCAACCCATATAAAAATATATTAAATTTTATATTTTAATATAACAGCCCAGGCATTTTATTAAATTACATTAGTACTTAAAATTGAAAAAGACATGACATCGTTTGAGCAAAGACATGCTTTGAGAATAAAGGCACAGATACAGAAGAAAAATATGGAAACGTCCAAAAGCGAATCGGTCATAAGTAAATTTTCTTTCCCTCGTCATTTGCCTAGCTCTATACATACATTGTGCTCCGTCTCCATCTCCTCTAGCATCCCTTGACTCTGCTTCAGCTCGTCCTTCAGCCTGGCGGTTTCACTCTCCAGCCCTCTGCGTCGTCTGTCCCAGGCCTCCCTGGCCCTCTTGTAATCTTCCATCTCTTTCTCCCTGTGCTTGTTTTCTGCTTCCTGCGCCTGCAGCAGTTCAGCGCGCTCTCGCAAACATTCCTGCAGTCGACTCTGACGAGAGACAGAAGGAAGCGGATGGGAAATAAAAAATTAAATGTTCCAGCATATTTGTTTTATCATCACTCATTAATTTAGCAAAACAAAAATACTTTGCTACCTTATTTTGTAAATATATTCTATTATTGTTATGCTCACCTGCAGCAGTTCAGCCCTGGGCACTACCAGCAGCATGCCTGTGCCTCCTTCCTCACCATGGGGCTCCTCCTCAAAGGTCACCAGATCCTCAAGGGGCTTTGGAGCGCAGAAACTAAATGTGGAGCTGCGGGAGCAAACTTCCCCCTTTGCGTCGATGTATACAAACTCATAATCTTGGGAGCTGGTCTTGGGTAGGTAGGAGGCTAAGAAGTGGTAGTAAAAAGATGAGACATGAGATGTTACATTTCAGTTTTCAGTGTTTTTTAGTTTTTTTTACCATTATGATATTCATAGGAGGCTTAATGCATTTTAGATGGCTAGATAATTTAACTCCCTCTTATTTTGGGAGAGCAAATCTCCTTTATAATAACAGTCTTTATGAAAAATAGTATACCATGATTTAAAGGGTTTAGATTTTAAATGTAAATGTATATGCATAAAACAAATCATTTACTAATGCAATTTAAAAAGAAAAAAATGTATTGTATCGCCACATTGATTCATGAGCAGATTGCTGCAATACAGCTTCCCACCACGAGCGGCAGCATTCCGTCAATTAGACCAGGTGAGCGCCAAAATAAATGGCGTAGAGCAAAACATTTGATTCACAACGCTCGCAAACACTTTAGCGGGCTCCTTTAGAATGAACCGATGGTTTGTTATTGATCACCGACTTGGAAAATACTTTGTCCATCCTGATATATCTTCAAGAAGTCTACCTTGCCTTGAGTACGTTTTCATTTTATTTTATTTTCTTTTACCTTTATTATACTTAATGAACGCAGATAGCTTTTCCTATGCAGGTAAATTAATCTGTCCCGTTTGAGGGCTGTTTCAGGTGTTGTCATCAAAGTACTAACATTTCGTCAGATGAGAGTTTATTCTGTCTGTTAATTTAGATGAGAATATAAAGTTTAATCTTTCATAAAGTTAGTAAAACAAGTCTCTGTGAGGACAGGTAATCTGAGGAGCGGCCTACACAGGATGTTTGTCTAGCAGTGCTTCTCAAAGTGTGGTCCGCGGACCACTGGTGGTCCGTGAGTATATTGGTAACATTTCACATTTGAAATTAATTAATTACTTATTTTCAGTTTTCCGCACTCTCCCGGGAATATCTCCGCAATGGAACAAGCTTAATAACGGTACGTCCACACAGCAGCTTTTCAAAAATCTTGAAAATCTTGGAGCTGGGCGTGTCTGAAAGCTTGGGGATTTCGCGACCAACAACCAATCACATGAATCTCCCGCCCCCGACATACAAAGCAAAAAACCCCGGTTCTTCTCCACTATTTCTTTAAACATTTATGAGATTAATGTCTATGGTGCTATTTTATGCTACATTCCATGCTGGCTAATGATACTGTCTATGCTTGCTAGCAATGAAGTAAACTAGCAACGAAGTAAACTGGATATAAAATCCCCAAACAAGCGAAAACCTACCAGTTTCCCCCACTGTCTCTGCCTCCTCCCTCCATGCCTGGTTCCTCCGGTTTGTATCCCGGTAAGTAAATAGGGACTGGTCATAAAGAACCGGGTGATTTGCTACCGCAATAACTAAGTTCTCCTCCATTTTTGTTAGGAATATAGAAATGAACTGCGGGTCTGGTTCTCCCAGCTTGCACGCGGTTTGATTGGCTAGCGCTTGAACTGTCAGATTTGCATACACGGATCTGATTGGCTGTCGCTTCCAGCTCAGCCTCAAAAGTTGAACATTGTTCAACATTGGAATCCTGAACATCCTGGAAATCCTGGAAATCTTCGCCTCGCCCCCCCACAATGCAGTTCGGCGACAAGCGAGGGAAAGTGACGTCATCCCCATTCAAAGTCAATGGGCGGAGACGCGCTGGAAGCGGTGGACAAATCGCCAAAAGCTGCTGTGTGTACGGGCCGTGAGTTTCACTTGTTTGTACCATTTTCAGGCGATTTGTAATCTGTTCTAGAAAAACGATGTGATTTTGGATATTTGTGGAGTTAGGTGGTCCGCGAGTGTTTTTTTTATTGGTTAAGTGGTCCTTGGTATGATAAAGTTTGAGAAACACTGGTCTATAGCCAGGGGGGTGCACATAACTGGTACGCAGATACGCATGCGCGGCAAAAATCTTTGAATTGCGTAACGTCACTTGTGTCACTACGCGCCTTTGCTACCTCAAAACATCTAAACAAAACTGAAGTTACCTACTGTAACCAAGCCCCCAGGAAGTGCGCCGGAGTCTGATGAGAATATTCGTGCTGGTCAAACGGCGGTACTACACTTCCTTTAGGTTGCTGGGCCCAGAAACACTTTTTCCCATTGACTTACATTGGGAAAGAGTGGTCTGTAACTCGTTGGATAATTTTTTTAAAACTAAATAAACTACCCAGTATGAACGTTTGTATAGCCCTTATTAAAAACATTCGTTCCTCAAGTTGTAAAAATGTGCTAATAACGTTATTCTGAGAGTTATTTCCCTCGGCATTATGAACGTGCATCTAACCCACGGGACCGCGCTGCCCGGCACGTTCATGTTACGTGTTCAGTACTACATGAGTTTCTCTTTACCCATGGATGCACAATAAGAACGGACCCATATCGCCTTACTGCCACGGAGCTGTAATAATGGATATATTGCACATGTTTGCTGTAATTCATCATTTGTAAAATATTACACTACATGGGCTGTATGATGTAAATCTTGTACCGTAAATGTTGTATTAAATAAAGTTAATATTACCGACGTAGATTAACGTTCCTGTAGCTTCTTATTGCACTTGCAATTGTTTTAGTTACTTGTGGGCTACTTAACATGAATAATCACAGTTACTATCCTTTTACTCCATCACATTTCAAAAAGAAATAGGCTATTGTTATTTTAACTCCACCACAGTAATCCATCATCAGCTTTACTTTTTAGATAAAGTTTTAACTCACAATTGATCATAACAGGCTTCAACATATACATTTTTATATATTACCAAGTGGTTTCATGTACAACCCACACAAGTATCATGCTAAATGAAGCTCTGTTGCTTGGATATCAGTAGACTAACTGACTTCAAGTCATGTGATAATTTCTTAGTATTTGATCCTCCAACTTGGCATCAGGAAATGCAAGGACTTCACAGTTTTGGCAACAAGTTTTGGAGAAAGCAAATCGGAGGCTTAAAAAGAGACAGGGAGGTGCATCTTCATCATCTATCACGCAAGAAGTGTAAATAGAGGACAGTGAAGGAGACACTGAGGAGGACCACGCTTCGTGTGGGGTGAGTACCAAACGCTGTCTCCTGGTACTCATCTGAGTAACTCACTAAAAAAGTTATGTGCACTATTATCTATAGCTCTATTTTACAACTAGCCGATTCTTCATTAAACGACAACAAGGTTTAGCTATTTATTTAAGGTTGATCAAAAACATTTGGAATATGGAAGATAATCGTTAATTAAGAAAGAAAACGTAAACATTCTTTTAATGAATGCTTCCTGTTTCTCTCAGAAAGTAGGCCTATTAGGTTTACCAGCTTTGATGAGGCTACTAAATAACTTCTTTCTTGATTCACTTTAGTTTTGCTAAGACATTAAGACCAATATCTTTTTTAACTGGCTTTTACTTAAGGTGCCTTGTCATTTGTTTTCAATAATTTGTTTAATACTATTTGTTATAGCTTGTGTACCATGTATTTATAACATTGACTTTACTTTATTTTTTAACATTGCATTTTCTATTTAAACATGTAATTTTCTATTTGATTTAATATGTTCTATTCTTGTTACTTTACTGTTTATTCTGTGCTGTTTTTAATTATTCTTTGTGAAGCACAAATATTTCAGTTTTTTATTGTTCTTGTCTATTTCTGCACTACTTTGTTGATAGTGCTCTTTTTATCTTGCTCTGTAAAGCAAGATAAAACCAATATCTTTTTAACTTGCTTTTACTTAAGGTGCCTCGTCATTTGTTGTCTGTTTTTTTATCAGAAAAAAATTATACTATTTTTAATTTTGCTCTGAAGCACGAATATTTATTTGCATAATGTAAGGAGCCAGCCAGCTTGATTTCCTCCAGGCCATAAAGCTAAGATAATAGTATCCTTATCTAACACAGGCTTCATGTTTAGAATGATCTAGACTTTGCCATTTTACAAAATGTGTACAGTAAAAGGGCCTGATGGAAAACAGAAAAGGAAGAATGACATACAGCAAAGTTTATGAGCTGTATTATATCTTAAAGCACCGGCTTAGGTCACAATGCTGATGATAAGGAAACATCTGAAGTTTATTTATACTTTTCTCCCTCTGCTCTTGGCAGTACGCTTAACTTAGTGAAAATGCTGTCAATGCTGCACCCGCTGCACATCTGGCCCTCGCTGAATGGGCTTATCAGCTGCCTTTGATAAACGGTACAAAGAGTTTTCTTCAGTATTTAGTAGTAGTTAGAGCAGGCTTCAACAGAGGCATTGTGCTTATCATCCTCATAATAACTCAGTATTGTAACCATGATACAGCCTCGTCCCATGTTAGAGTCCAAGTTGAGGGATATTTGTCTTCTGTTTAGGATAAGTTCAGTGGAAACACTCTTTTAAGGTACAAATAACATTTTCTTCCACTCCATAGAGTAGAAGCTAGCCTTTTGTGACTTAGAGAGAAATTCAATTTACAGAAACATCAATCTCCTAGTGAAGGTTTTATATGCGGATCTAAACACTGTACCAGTATAGATTCTGGCTAACTATGGGAAATAAAATACAATTAGAAAAAAAGGTAATGAGTACCCTGGAAGTGCACACAGCAGTTGACATCCATGCCCTCTTGATAGTCAGCCGGGGCCAGTGCCCAAACAAAGGTGTGGTAGTCCTTCACTGACAGCCATCCCACCTGAGGAGCAAAATATGCACAATGTTATTTGCCATTAAATACTCTTCATCCACATTATTTTTCTGACAGTCTTTAGGATAACTGTACCTTGAAGAGTCCTATCCAGTCATTGCTGGCCCAGTTGTGCTGTGAGCTCAGTGTGTAGTGGCAATCGACTCTGCTCTGAGGGAAGTAACTGCAGCCCACGTTTCTGAACTCGACCTGCCAAGTGTTTTCCATGGCAACACTAAAGGAAGGCAGGCTATTTTTCACATGCAGGAAAAAAACCACAATGTTCAATGTTGTTAGGAAGACAAACAAGACAGAGCCTGTAGTCTGTGAATGTTTATTTTGTGTAAGTGGATATCCTTAATTTGTGCCAACTTGAGGAGAGAACATTAGAACGTAACCTCAGTGACAGCACTGCTGTTGAGCAACATGACATTACATGTTTGTCACAAGGGTTATTTCAGTCATCGTCAACATAATTTGCTATTGTACACCGTGCACGTGTAAGCATGAAGGACAAGGTGTCTAGAACCTTCAGCTTGTATAGGGCTCAAATTTCACTGGCAAATGCACTTTTGAGGAATTCCTGCTTGCAGTTAACCATTAAACCACTTGTGGCTCAGAGAAGGCATTATTTATTCATTTAGTATTGTGTGGGGTGTTCAATCCACCATATGTTGAGTGTGAGTAACTATTGCATGCGCCCGGTCATCCTGACAGACATTCAGGTGACAACAATTGCAAATAAATTAAATTTGAGAGGGGATTCTAAAGGCACTATTTGGGCCTAAAGTGTACATATGCTGCAGTTGTAGATTAACTGTACCTTTCCCATTTTTTATATTTCTCTCTCGTGTTACATCAATTTGTATTCTTGTTAATTTAGTTTTTCACT